CGGCGCGGATGCGAGGAATCCGCGCGGACCTCCGAATTCTTATGCTTCTGTCATTCTTCCTTCCCCTACAGAGTTTTTATTTTCCGTATGTACTTATATGTATTTTTTTTTGTTGTGTTTATTTCCTAGGTTTTTTATGTTTTGTATGCTCCTATGTTTGTTTTATGCTATTTTATGCTTATTGTTCGTTCCCCTACTCTTCTGTTGCATCTTCGGGGGACCTCGCCTGTCCCTAAAATTGGTGTCTTTTTGGGGGCCCGACGCGGGCTCGATGCGGACTCGACGCGGATTTGGCATGGATTCGACGCGGATTCGACACGTATTCGACACGGATCCGACGCGTCCGACATGGATTCGACACGCATTCGACGCGGACAGGGCCGCGACGGGACAGACAAGGTCCCCCGAGGATGCAACATAACCTGGGTTCCTTGGCTTTCGATGGTTCTGCCATGGATAGGGGTCCACATGCGAACCCTGCCCCTACCCCCCACGATTTCTGAGAGGGGGCGGGGGAGGGGTTCGCATGTGACCCCCCCTAATGGAAAGGCGTGACGTTCCCCCGAGGATGCAACATAACTACGCCGATCGCCGCATCGCCGATGCATCGCCGATGCAGCTCGATGTGGGGCCCGATTCGCTTCACGTCGACGTCGCCGATGCATCGCCGAGGATGCAACATAACTACGCCGGGGCACTTGCGCCCAGAAGACGTCGGGGCCTCGGAGGCCCGGGCTCGCCGCCTCGCCGCCGCCGCAGGGGGGCGGGAAAAGCGGCGCGCCGGCCGGCGCCGGCCCCGCCGTGGGGCGTTCGAGGCCGAGCGCCGGCGGCGGCCCAGAGTCGGCCCAGAAGAACAAGCATAACCGTAGGAGCATACAGAAAGCTCAAGTCAAGGGCAGAAAAAAAAACGCCCCTGATACCCTGGTTCACGAGGCGCTGTGCGCTGAAACTCCTGTGGGCTGACAGGGTAAATCCTGCGTGATGTGCCGCGTCCTGGCGGCTCTAGGCTTTGGGGGTTCCCAGGAGGTTTACAGACCACGGCCGGCGGCGGCCCCGCCGTGGGGCGTTCGAGGCCGAGCGCCGCCAGCGGCCCAGAGTCGGCCCAGAAGGACAAGCAGGAGGGAAAACAAAAAAAACACAGACACAATTATTAATCGTCGATCCCCAGGAAAATATGGGAAAATATGGGAAGGGGGGGGGGAAGACGAAAACCCCCAAAAATATGGAAACATGGAATATGTTGATTAGTGTGTATTTATTTATGTGTCCCAGGGCCCCTTCAGGCAAGCATAAACACAGGAACATACATGAAGCTTAAAAGTGGAAAGTTTTATGTATGCTCCTATGCTCCAAACATAAGTAGAAACATTAAGTTCAATGTATGCTCCTATGTAAGGCGGCCGACCGGCGGCGGCCCGGAATGACAAGCATATACATAGGAGCATACATAAAGCTTAAAAGTGGACAGTTTTATGTATGCTCCTATGTTTTAAACATGAGTAAAAGCACAGGAAGTTCTATGTATGCTCCTATGTAATTTTGTAAGTTTGTCATGCTTTCAACATACGACATAAACATGACAACCTGAAAGCACAACGAAGCTAGAACTCCGTAGGGGAACGACGAATGACAGAAACATAAACCTTCGGAGGTCCGCGCGGATTTCTCGGATCGGCGCCAGCGGCCCAGAATCGGCCCAGAATGACATAAACATACAGTCGGCATTGACTGGACAGGACACGCTAGAGGACACAAGACCCTTCCGAGGGCCACATCGCCATGGGGGATGCAGGAGGCGCGTGTCGCGAGGCACGGGACAGGAGGGTACCCTTGAGTTGGCAGGGTCGACCTGATAATCTGGGCCGACTGTAAGCATAGGGACATACACAAAACATAAAACATCAGAAATAAACATGAAAAAACATAAAAACACAACGAAGCCAGAACTCCGTAGGGGAACGAAGAATGACAGAAGCATAAGAATTCGGAGGTCCGCGCGGAGTCCTCGCATCCGCGCCGGACCCCCCCTGGCGCCGCCTCTAGCGCCGCCCTGGCGCGCTCCGCGCGCCAGGGAGGGAGGTCCAGCGCCGATCCGAGAAATCCGCGCGCGGACCTCCGAGTTTTTATGCTTCTGTTATTACTGGAGAGGCCTGATGGCCGGTGCCGCCGACCCTGATCGAAAGGGCTAGGAGTGGGGGGAGGAAGCGGAGGATGAGGAGGAGGAGGAGGAGGAGGAGGAGGAGGAAGAAATCCGCGCGGACCTCCGAGTTTTTATGCTTCTGCTATGATTTGGTCCCCGACGCAGCTCTTGGCCCAGAGTCGGCCCACACGGAACGATCGGGCGATCGGCACGCCGCCTTTCGTGCAAGGGGGAGCGATCGACGCGCTGCCAGGAGCCCACGCCGGGGTCGTCGCGACACGAGCCTGCCGCAATGAGCCGCAATCTCTTCGCGCGCCGCGGCCTGGGCCAGAGCGGATGCCCTTCTCCAGCGAGGGGCAGCGCGAGGGCGCGAGGGCGCGAAGACAGCTGCGCATCGCGTGGCGGTGGCTGGCCCCCCTTGGATGACGCCGAGGCTGGCGTCGTCCGCGTCACCATCGTCACCCTCCTGGGCCTCTGGGGGCCGCCGAGGGCCACCGACGGTCTCCGACGGGCCGCCGAGAGCCTCGAAGTGCTTCCGCAGGGCCGCCGGAGGTCGTGCGGAGGGCCCTCGTCGAGGGGGGGGCGCCGACGGGCCCGCCGAAGGGCCGCCGAAGGCCATCGAGAGGGCCCCGCTCAGCGCGGGGGGGCGTGGCCGCGGGGGCGGCACGGCGGCGGCACGGCGGCGGCCCAGGCGATCAACCGGAACGAAGAGACGGACCCCCCCTGCGCCGCGGCACCCCCTCCTCCCTCCTCCCTCCTCCTCCTCCTCCTCCTCCTCCTTCCTCCTCCTCGTCCTCCTCCTCTTCCTCCTCCTCCTCCTCCTCCTCCTCCTGCTCCTGCTCCTGCTCCTCCTCCTCCTCCTCCTCCTCCTCCTCCTCCTCCTCCTCCTCCTCCCTCCTACTCCTCCTCCTGCTCCTCCTCCTCCTCCCCCTCCTCCTCCCCCATCCTCTTCACCTCTTCCTGCTCCCTCCTCCTCCTCCTCCTCTCTTTTCCGCCTCCTCCTCCTCCTCCTACTGCTCCTTCTTCCTCCTCCTCCTCCCTAGCTCCTGCTCCTCCGTCCTCCTCCTGCTCCTCCTGCTCTTCCTCCTCCTGCTCCTCCTCCTCCTCCTCCTCCTTCCTCCTCCTCCTTCTTCTCCTTCCTCCTCCTCCTCCATCCTCCTCCTCCTTCCCCCTCCTCCTCCTCCTCCTCCTCCTCCTCCTCCTCCTTCTCCTCATGCTCCTCCTGCTCCTCCTTCTCCTCCTCCTCCTTCTCCTCCGCCTCCGCCTCCGCCCTTTGCCGGGGTGGCGCCAGCTACCCGGACCTCCTCGCGTCGTGGCAAGAGAACATGGCGGGAGGTGTTTGGCCGTGTTTGGCCTCCGGATGCCCTCACCATAAGCTCTGGGGCCGTCAGAGAAATTGCTCGAGATGAAACACAGGTTTCGGGGAAGGATTCCAGATATCCGGGGAAGTTGTGTAGAAGAAATCAAGGCTTATGATGTTCAAGCCGACTTCAGCCTTGACCACCAGGAGTAATTTCGAGCACCAGGAAAGTACGGACACTTGAAGGTTTTCACGTGCCGGGCTCCGGGAGGCGATGCTCGCTCGACACTGTCTCGACACTTCTTTCTCGGTGCTCGAAATTTGTTCTGCGATGTGGTCCTCAAGTGCGATGCGAGCAACGTCCATCAGGGCATCGGAGGTCTGGGGCCACCGCCTCGTCGCCGCCGGGGGCACGAAGACGTGGCCGCTCTTCGCGCCTCGCGCGTCGCGGCCGGGGCCAGAGCGGGCGCCCTTCTCCACCGAGGGGCGGCGCGAGGGCGCATCAAAACGATGTCAGGTGAAGTCGGACCTGTCCCTCTCTACAGGAGCAATGTTGCTCGGGGGTGTATAGACCTCCTCCTACCCTGACACGTCGATCCAGGAATTGGCCGTTTTCGGTTCGCGAGAGGGCGTCGCGGCCGGCATTTTTGCGGGTCCAGGTCCGTCGGTTTCGGTCCTGGGCCGTTTCCATTAAGGGGAGGTTTACTAAAGGGAGGTTTGTCCACCGCCGAGTTGCGAAGTAGTCCAAAAATAGTCTGGGGACGATTTCTTTACAATTTTTTACTAATCTTGGGCATTTGCTTGACTATTTTTTAAATTTTTGCCCAAAATCCGCCTGTAGGGGGACACGCCTGACCTAAACGTAGTGTGAAGAGACGGTCCCCGGGAAGGGAACCTGATTTTCGGGGGTTACGTCATGCGCAGCTCATGCATAACGTCAGGGGCGCGGGCATACGTCACCACCCACCAGCCCGCCCGAGCCCAACCCGAAGGCCCCAATGTGCCGTCCATCCCCAGTACGGGGGGGGTCGGGGAACATGGACAAAACAGATATGAAGCCCTCGGGCGCCGCGTAATGGGGGGGTCATAAATGGGGGGGGGTCGCGGGTGGTCCGAAAAGGTACCCAAACGGTACCTAAACGAGCCCCCTGGGGCTCCAGAGGGGCCCGAAAGGGGCACGAAAGGGGACCTTTTTTTGACCCCCCCATTGGTGACCCCCCCATTAAGCCACGCCCAAAGCCCGTACCCCACCCCCCAACCTGAAATTCGGGCCTTCGGGTCGGGTTGGGGAGGCCTGGCAGGTGGTGCACACGGCATACCCGTGCACCGATCGCGGGCCAGTCTTGGGCCCAGGGTCCTCGACTTCAAATCCGCTGCGCTGTTTTTGCTGGTCCAGTTCAAGATTGCGTCGGACCTGCATCCCAGACTGTGCGAAACGGTAGGGCGGAAATCTCCGCCTTAGAAGGGTGCGGGTGTTCTGCACGGGCATGGCGGAAACCGCGACGGCAGAGCAGTGCGGAGCTCGATGTCAAAGGAGCCTGACCAGCAGGGCATGTCCGTAGCCATTTTGGCTCAAGGGGGCTACCTGCGCCCAGAAGCGGCGCCCGGCCCCTGGCGGCAATGGCCGCCCCTGACGCGCCCGTCGCGGAGGGGGCGGGAGCTTGCGCCGCCGATGGGGATGCTCTCGATCAGGCCGTCGCCGACGTCAGGCCGGAAGGAGTGCTAGAAGCGACGGAGAAAGAGGTGCGGGCTTGGTATGCGTACGACTGGGCCAACTCTCCGTTCTACCAGGTGCTGGACCCCGTCTTCAAGGTCCTCCTGAAGAGGATGGCCGAGATGGCGGACGCGGAGGGCACGTACTGGGCGTGGCCGTCAGCAGGGAGCTACCCCGCTCTCGTGCTGTGGGTCACTGCAGGGGTACAGGTATTTGCCTTGCTCTGTTTGTCTGCGTATGCGGACTACGGCAACGGCAAGTTAGCCGTCATGCGAAGGCTCACGTGGGCGGGCTCCCTCGCGTGCGTGTCCTGCATTTTTTTCTTCGACAGTTCGCTGTGGGCAGTGGCCGGGGGCATGCGCATCATCCTCGGCATTTTGTTCATCAGCTCGCTCACCTACTACGACTCCTTCCTGCCGCAGCTGGCCCACTACCACTTCGGCGTCGCGGGCCTTCAGGGCAAGGAGCGGGCGGACAAGGAAGCCAAGGTAACGGACCAGATGTCGAACATGGGCCAGCTCATCGGCTACCTAGGGGGCCTCTGTGCGTCGGTCCTGTGCATGGTCATTCAGATCATATTCGCCTGCGACACGGCGAAGCAAACCTGCAGCGAGTTCAACCGGCTATTTTTTCTGAGCCTCAGCTGCTCAGTGGTCGGCGTCTGGTGGTGTGCGTTTTCGCATTACAGCTTCAGGCACCTGAAGTCAAGGCCCGGGGGCCCGTTCCCAGAGGGCTCCAGCAATCCGCCGAAGCTGGGCTGGATCCAGGCCCGAAACGGGCTGTTGATCCTGTATAGAAAGAAGCAGTGCGGTATGATGATGGCGGCCTTCTTCGTCTATTCCGACGCCCTCAATACAATGCTAAATCTTTCGGTTCTGCTCTTGGAAGAGTCTATATCGACATGGGACGTGGCAACCTTCGGTAATTTCATGCTCGCCGCTTTCGGAGGCTTTCTGGGCGTGTTCTTGTGGAGCGCGCTACAGTGGAAACTCGGGGTGAGCAGCAAGTCCGCGCTCATCGTCCAGGTCGGGATGTTCGCCCCCATCGCGGTCGGGTGTGCCTTCGGCATGACCGACTCCACTGCAGGATTCTACGCCGCCATGACCCCGCTGATACTGACGATGGGCTCCATGCAGGCCAATTCCAGGTCCGTGTTTGCGCAGGTCATCCCCGTTGGTCAGGAGGCTACCATGTTTTCCATGTGGGTGATCATGGACAAGGGCTCGAGCTTGGTCGGGACATTGGTGGTGGTGTTCGTACACACTGCGATGGGAAATTATTACCTATCGTTTTGGTATTGCGCCCTTGCCTTCACGGTGGGGAGCCTGCTGCTCTACCTGGTGGACGTGGAGCGGGGCCAGGTCGACGCGGGCAGGAGAAGGCCAGCAGAGACGCTGCAGAAGACGGCTGAGCCCGTGGTGTGATTGCCTCCCGCGAGAGGGAGGTCCTCCCCGTCTCTGCGAGATACCTCTTGCTGGAGGGGGATGGACCTCCCGCGAGGGAGGGGCTGAATGGTGGGAATGGGGGAGGCGATGTGTGGTTTGTGAGGAGGAAACAAATTGACCAGAAGGGCAGAAGTGTCCCCCTGGCCTGCGAAATCGCCCAAAGCACGGCGGTTCCGACGTTGGGGGTTGGCGCACAGTAGAGGCCCATGCCAAGACACACCATGCTTGCCTTCAGGGTGCCCTGGGTTTCTTGGGTTTCGACGATTTTGCGATGGAAGGCGCGACGTGTCCCGCACCAAAAATCAATGGACGTCCTGGGGTCCCAGGGTTGGGTTTCTCGTGGAAGGTTTCTCGTGGTCGGGCCCCTGCTGTAGATCTACGGATCATTCTACGAAATGTTTGCAGGCTCGACGGAAAACAGCATTGGGGGTAGCAGCACTGCTGGTGTGCATCCCCTCCTCCCTCCCTCCTCCCCCTCCTCCTCCTCCTCCTCCTCCTCCTCCTCCTCCTCCTCCTCCTCCTCCCTCCCCTCCTCCTCCTCATCCTCCTCCTCTCTCTCCTCCTCCCCCTCCTCCTGCCTCCTCCTCCTCCTCCTCCTCGTCCTCCTCCTCATCCTGCTCCTCTCCTCCTCCTCCATCCTCCCCCTCCTCCTCCTCCTCCTCCTCCTCCTCACCCCTCCTCCTCCTCCTCCTCCTCCTCCTCCTCCCCCTCACCTCCTCCTCCTCCTCCCCTCCCCGCCTCCTCCGCCGCCTCCTTCTCCTCCTCATCCGCCTCCTCTCCTCCTCCTCCCCCTCCTTCTCCCCTCCTCCCCTTCCACCTCCTCCTCCTCCTCCTCCTCCTCCTCCTCCTCTCCAGCTGCCTCCTCCTCCGCCTCCTCCCCTACTCCTCCCACTCCCTCCTCCTGCCTCTATCCAAATTCGCCATGGAACGGACACCAAACCTCTACAGGAGGACGATTGAAAAATAGTTACGAAATAGTCTGGGAACGATGTTTGATATATTTGTTGTTTTGTTGTAAGCATGCTTGGGGAATCTGTTATTCTTCGTCCGGAATCCGCCTGTAGGGGGGCATGCCCGACCTAAGGCTGGCCTTCGCCCGCGCGGAGGCGGTTCCGAGGTTCGCCGGGAGGGGGCGGGGGAGGGAGTGGTGCTGGCGTGACTCTGCCCGCCTCCTCCTCCTCGTCCTCCTCCTCCTCCTCCTCCTCCTCCTGCTCCTCCTCCGCCGCCTCCCCCTCCTCCGCTCGTCCCTCCTCTTCCTCCTCCTCCCTCCTCCTCCTCCGCCTCCTCCTCCTCCTCCTCTCTCCTCCTCCTTCCACTCCTTCATTCCTCACTTTCTTCTCCTCCTCCTCCTCCTCCTCCTCCTCCTCCTCTCCTCCTCCTCTCCTCCTCCGCTCCTCCTCCTCCTCCCCCTCCCACCTCCTCCTCCATCCTCCTCCTCCTCCTCCTCCTCCTCCTCCTCCTCCTCCTCCTCCTCCTCCTCCTCCTCCTCCTCCTCCTCCTCCTCCTCCTCTTCCTCCAGCAGCGTGCTCGTGCCGCCGGGGACAGGAGCATGGCCTCGAGACTGCACTCGCAGCCGCCGCCGCGCAGCGCACGGGTGGGCCGCCTCTCCGGGGCAGTCTCTCGCGAGCGGGGGGGGGGCGCTCCGTCGAGCACGCGCGCCGTGTTCCGGGCCCAGGTCTGAAGGGGCCCTTTCGATGCTCGTTTTGGGGACCTCCCTGGGGGCCACCTAATGGATCTGTTCGACTCAGGTTCGACTCAAGTCGACTCAGGTTCGACTCAGGTTCGACTCAGATTCGACTCAGGTTCGACTCATGTTCGACTCAGGTTCGACTCAGGTTCGACGCAGCTTCGACGCACGAGTGGAGCGAGTGGCTCCAGGAAGGTCCCCAGAACGAGCATCTAAGGCCCTGGGACAGACAAGTCAATACACACGGATAACAGGGTTCCCAATATTTGTCCATATTTTCTGGGTTCTCGTCTTCCCTAGGGGAAGGAACAATCACATAAACATAATTAGCCTGGCGAAGGACCCAACCATACGCAGTTGTGAATACCGCAATTGTGAATACCATCTTCGTCCGCGCTCCCTATGTAGCCACGGCTCCCCGCCGGGGCCCGGCATGCTCAGGGACACGTTCGTGGCCGTCTTCGCGGGCGCCGACGACGACGAGGACGGCGTCCCCCTGACCGAGGAGCAGAAGCAGGAGAGGGCTCTGAGAGCCATGAAGGATGCTGCCACGGGCGACATCGGTGGGGCTCCCATGGGGCCACGATCCTCGTGAGGGGTGTGCCGAAATGGCCCAAGGCCGCCATGCGAACCCTGACACGGGCTTTCGGTGGAGCTCACTATGGGTGTACAGACATGGGGCAACACCGACATGCCGAACCTGCCGCTGCGGCATTCGGTGGTGCCGCCTCAGACCACGAAGCGTGCGAGGGGTGCGCCGAAATGGAGGGTGGAACCGCGTGCGAACGCAGCCACTGGGGCCTTCGGTGGAGTTCCCTGTGGGGCCACGAAACGTGCGAGGGGTGTGCCGACATGGGGGGTGGAACCGCATGCGAACGCAGCCACTGGGGCCTTCGGTGGAGCTCCCTATGGTCCACGAAGCGTGCGAGGGGTGTGCCGAAATGGAGGATGGAACCGCGTGCGAACGCAGCCACTGGGGCCTTCGGTTGAGTTCCCTGTGGGGCCACGAAACGTGTGAGGGGTGTGCCGACATGGGGGGTGGGACCGCATGCGAACGCAGCCACCGGGGCCTTCGGTGGAGCTCCCTATGGGGCCACGAAACGTTTGAGGGGTGTGCCGAAATGGGGGGTGGAACCGCAGGCGAACGCAGCCACTGGGGCCTTCCGTGGAGCTCCCTATGGGCCACGAAACGTGTGAGGTGTTCCGAAATGGGGTGTTGGCACGCTGCAATAGCGCGCAAAAGCGAAACGCAACCGCTGGGCTTTGGGTGTTCTCCCTATGGGGCCACGAAACGTGTGAGAGGTGAGCCGAAATGGGGGGTGGAACCGCATGCGCCGCAAAAGCGAACGCAGCCACTGGGGCCTTCGGTGGAGCTCCCTATGGGGCCACGAAACGTGTGAGGGGTGTGCCGACATGGGGAGTGGAACCGCATGCGCCGCAAAAGCGAACGCCGCCACTGGGGCCGTCGGTGGAGCTCCCTATGGGGCCACGAAACGTGTGAGGGGTGTGCCGAAATGGGGGGTGGAACTGCATGCGCCGCAAAAGCGAACGCAGCCACTGGAACCTTTGGTGGAGCTCCCTATGGGGCCACGAAACGTGTGAGGGGTGTGCCGAAATCGAAATGGGGGGTGGAACCGCATGCGCCGCAAAAGCGAACGCAGCCACTGGGGCCTTCGGTGGAGCTCCCTATGGGGCCACGAAACGTGTGAGGGGTGTGCCGAAATGGGAAGTGGAACCGCATGCGCCGCAAAAGCGAACGCAGCCACTGGGGCCTTCCGTGGAGCTCCCTAAGGGGCCACGAAACGTGTGAGGGGTGTGCCAAAATGGGGGGTGGAACCGCATGCGCCGCAAAAGCGAAACCCGCCACTGGACATTGGTGGAGCTCCCTAAGGTCCCCGAAAGCGTGCGAGGGGTTGTCCGACTTGGGGGGTGAACCGCATGCGCCGCAAAAGCGAACGCAGCCATTGGGGCCTTCGTGGCAGGCTCCTATGGGGCCACGAAACGTGTGAGGGGTGTCCGAAAGGGGGAATGAACCGCATTGGCGCCCCAAAAGCAAACGCAGCAGCTGGGCCTTCCGTGGATGCTCCCTAAGGGGCCACGAAACGTGTGAGGGGTGTGCCAAAATGGGGGGTGGAACCGCATGCGCCGCAAAAGCGAACGCAGCCACCGGGGCCTTCGGTGGAGCTCCCTACGGGGCCACGAAACGTGTGAGGGGTGTGCCGAAATGGGGAGTGGAACCGCATGCGCCGCAAAAGCGAACGCAGCCACTGGGGCCGTCGGTGGAGCTCCCTATGGGGCCACGAAACGTGTGAAGGGTGTACCGAAATGGGTGTGGAAGGGGGAGGAAGGGGGAGGAGGGAGGGAGGAAAGAGGCGGGAACGCGGGGCACCGTCTCTTCAAAACGAGGACCCAACACCACAGGATGCTTGGGAAAAACTCGCTAGGTCCGCGCGAATTTCTCGGATCGGCGGTGGACCCCCCTCCTTGGCGCGCGGAGCGCGCAAGGGGCGGCGCCGGAGGCGCCGCCAGGGAGGGCCCGCGCGGATCCGCGAAATCCGCGCGGACCTCCGAGTTGTTATGCTTACGTCACTTTTTGTTCCCCTATTCCCCCCCACTTCCCATAGTTTTACCAGCCTCGAACTTATCCCTATCCCTGAGATTGACACGCCAAAAGGCGATGACAATCTTAGGGATGCGCCCTCAAAAAGTAAGGGAATCCCTGAGATTGGCATCGTGATGAGAAGATGCCCAGCATAGGGATAGGGATATGTTCCAGGCTGGTAATAGTCTCCCATACACCTTAGGCGATGCTTAAGAAAACTTAAGTGTTCGGCCGGAGTCTCGATTATTCTTAACGTTTCAATGTAGATCTTAAGATTTTAATCGACATGTTGGGTTTTTGTTCAAGTTCTGAGACTATGAATTTCTTAACCCATGATTTCTTGAGCATTTCGCAGGGTGTAGCTCCCTGGGGGTCGACGATGACTCGTGTCTGCCTGCTTCTTTTCCTCCGGCAGGTTCCCCGTCGCCGGCGGCACGTCGGCCTCGGCCTCCCGGAGGCGGGGCGCGCCGGAGGCCGAGCGTTCCCAGCGAGGTTGGGGAGAGGCCCCGCTCCTAATTGGGGCCCGCTCCTACAGGAGGAGTGTTCAAGAATCGTCATCAATCGGGGGTGGACAGAACCCCCAACAGTGACACGTCGATTAGTGAATTGTCCGTTTTCGGTTTTCGAGAGGGCGCCGTGGCCGTTATTTTCCAGGCTTGCGCCCGCCAGGTTTGGGCCTCAGGTCGTTTTCACTAAACCACGTTTTGCTAAAGGGGGGTCTGTCCATCCCCGAATAAAGTCGTGCGGGGACGGTTCTTGGAGCACTGTTCGGCCCTTCGTGGGGTGTGTTTGGACTGCATGCGATTGTCCGCCGCAGATCCGCCTCTAGGGGGACACGCCCGACCTAAACCTAGGGGAGCGGGGCGCCTGCCTCACTGGAGGTGTGTCCGCCGGCGTCGCGGACCCACGGAGCGCCCGCCGAGCCAGGGTCGAGGGCCGAGGCTTGTACGCGTCCCTGGCATTAGGTCGGGCGTGTCCCCCTACTACGGGGGGGGATTTTCGATGAAAATGGAAGAAGTGCCCCCTAAATGGCCAAAAAAGATTCCAAAAAGTAGTCCCCGGACTATTTTTTTGACTACCTTGATCGGGGGCACACGATAGGGGGGGTTGGACAGGGGGGGAATGCATCTACCTTCCCCAATCGCCCCATTGATATCGCCGGGGGGGGAGGGATGGGCCCTAATAAAAAGCCCCACCCTGCCCAGGAATGTGCGGATTCACATCGGTAGGCTCCAATCGCCCGTACCTATCGTCGATGTATCTGCCCCCGAAATTTTGATTGCAGGTCGATGCAACCCCCCCCATTCCATTCCCCCGTCCCCCCTCCCCCCGCCCCCCGCCCCCCCCTCGCACCCCTTCCGCCCCCCTTCCCCCTCCCCCTCCCCCCTCCCCCTCCCCCCCCCCTCCCCCCTCCACCTCCTCCTCCTCCTCGTCCGCCTCCCTCCTCCTCCTCTTCCTCCTCCTCCCCCTCCTCCTGTAGTGTCGTGTCGGCTTTCCAGCACCCAGATGCATGCAGCCCCCGCTGCTGGCCACGGCCTTGGTGAAGGCGCTGGCCGAGCCGCGGACCATCCGGCGACGCCCTGCGAACAGCGAGTCGCACCCCCCGCCGTCCGAGGCGCCCGCGGTGGCGCTGGCCCAAGAGAGGCCCCCCCCCGGTTTTTTGGGGGCGGCCGCCCGCGCGCCAGGACCAGGACACGACTTGCTGGAACGGCTACGGCAGGAGGCCCGTGCCGAGCGGCAGGCGGAGGCAGCGCGCGGCGCGGACGGCATGGCGGGGGCTGAGCTCAGGCCCGAGGCGCTGGCCGAGCAGCAGGGCCGCGACTGCCGAGGCGCTGGCGGCCGCTCGCGCCGCGGGGCTGGAGCAGCACCTGGAGACCGAGCAACTGGCGGAGGCAGCGCAGGGCGCCGAGGCCGAAACCTCGCGCCCGACGGAGGCGGAGCACACGGCCGCCGAGGCCGCGCCCCTCGGGAAGGAGGCCGAGCGCCTGGAGGCCGCCCCCGAGGCGGAGCACGACGCGGGCGCGGAGAGGCAGGGCGGGAGGGCGGGCACGAGCGCTGCCGAGCACGACGGCCAGCAGCGCGACCAGCAGCAACGCGCCCAGCAGCGCCACGCCACCGAGCACCACCGAGACCAGCACGACAACGAGGACCAGCAGCACCACGCCGCCCAGCACCACCGCGTCGCCCACGGCTGTGCTGTATTGGAGGGGCCAAGTACTGCCACCTTCCTTGGAAGGCATGCCGCGAGGGGTGTTCGGGGCGGCCTCCCCGAGGGTGCCTCGCGGGGTGCTGAAGATCTCGGGGGTGGAGCGCGGACACCACAGAGGACTGGCCGCATTGCCGTTCCCCTTGGAAGGCATGTCGTGGCGGATGCCCAGGGTGACCCTCGCCCTGGGGGCCCACCGCGGGGCGCTGAGGATCTCGGGTGCGGACCGCGAACACGCTGATGGACCAGACCGTCAGCAACGCTCCCTGCGCCTCCGCCAGACGCGCAGGGAGAGAGGGCGGCCCCCAGGGACGCGGCCCTCTGAGCGGTGGCCGCGCGACGCGCGGAGCGTCGGGCGCGGCCGCCGCGCGACAGCCAGCGGGGCTGCGGGGGAAAGCTTCGGGAAAGCTGCTCTCCTCCTCCTCCTCCTTCGCCTCCTCCTCCTCCTCCTTCCTCCTCCTCTCCTCCTCCTTATCGCCCTCCTCCGCCTCCTCCTCTCCTTCCTTCTCCTCCTCCCCCTCCTCCCCTCCTCCTCCTCCTCCCCTCCTCCTTTCCTCCTCCCCCTCCTCCTCCTCCCCTCCTCCTCCTCCTCCTGCTCCGCCTCCTCTTCCTCCCTCCTCCTCCTCCTCTCCTCCTCCTCCTCCCCTCCGCCTCCCCTCCTCCTCCCTCCCTCCTTCGCCTCCTCCTCCTCCTCCTCCTCCTCCTCTCCTCCTCCTCGTCCTCCTCCTCGTCCTTCCTCCTCCATCCTCCCCTTCCCCTCCTCCTCCGCCCTCCTCCTCCCCCTCCTCATCCTCTGTCCTCGCTACTCCTCCTCCTCCTCCTCCTCCTCCTCCTCCTCCTCCTCCTCCTCCTCCTCCTCCTCCTCCTCCTCCTCCTCTTCTTCCTACTTAGAAACCCGTGTCGGCGTGCGCTGAGGGGGGTGGTGACTGCGAAATCTGCTGCTCGCCGTCCGCGACAAAAGAAAGAGGCATGTCCCTCTACAGTTTCGGGGGCGGCAAAGAAAGGGGTGATGACTAGGGGGGGTATCATGTCGGGGGCCATGATGTTTCCCCAAAGCTTAGGGCGCTTCTACTTGTTTCATTACGTCCCGGCCACCCCCCCCCCGCCCTGGCCTGCGCACGTGCCGCGGCCATGATTTGCCCCCCCCCCCCCCTCTTGGACGCCCCCCTCTTGGCCGCCCCCGAAAAAGAGAAAGGCATGTCCCTCTACAGTTATAATGTTCCAATCTACTCCATCCTTGAACGCCAGACAGAATTTCGAGCACCAGAAAGTACCCCAAACCTTAAGGGGTTTCACGTGTCGGGCCCTGGGAAACACTTGTCCGACACTGCTTCGGCACTCTCTCGACACTCTTTCGACACATGTTCCCAGGTGCTCGAACTTATTTCTGGGATGTGGCCCTTCAGTGCGACTGGAGCAACATAACTCAATAGGAGGAACATGCACAAGTAATCAAAAAATAAAAGTCTGGGGGGCGAGTTGTGGATTCTTGTTGGCTAATCTTGAGCATTTTTGGGCTGCGTTCTATTTTCCAGGTAGGACAAAAAACCACACAGGCACAATTGATCGTGCCATGGCTGGCTTCTCCCCTCTCCTCCCCCCTCCCTCCCTTCGCGGCTTACGGCCGGTGCTGCCCTGCGGAGCGCGGCAGGGGCCCCTGAAATCCAGCACGTTTCTGCTCTCAGGGGGAGGAGGAGGAGGAGGAGGAGGAGGAGGAGGAGGAGGAGGAGGAGGAGGAGCAGGAAAAGGAGGAGCAGGAAAAGGAGGAGGAGGAGGCGGAGGAGGAGGAGGAGGAGGCGGAGGAGCAGGAGGAGCAGGAGGAGGAGGAGGAGGAGGAGGAGGAGCAGGAGCAGGAGCAGGGGGAGGAGGAGCAGGAAGAGCACGTTCCTGCTCTCACGGAACCTACGCCAGGGTGGCGGCTTCTCTTGGGTTCCCAGAGCTCCAGTCCAGTCCAGCCCTTCTCCCCCCTCAGCCCTCTCTGCCCCTCCCTCCTCGCGCCCCCCCCCCGTCCCTCCCTGGCGCCCTCCTCCCTCCCTTACCCCCTCCGTTCCCCCTCCTGCCTCCTTCCGCCCGCCCTCCCGCCATGTCGATTCGTTGATGTTCTAGGCCGCAGAAGCCCCATTTTGGGGCATCGCCACGTCATGCTATACCATGCTACGCGTTGATCTTCAACACCATGCTATGCGATGTAATGCCGCTCCATGCTACGACATCCGGCTGTGCGAATAGAGAGGAGATCTACGCCATGATAAGGGATGGGAGGGAGGGGTAGGACGTCAGATATGACGCGAACGCACCTGGCTTGCCCATGCCCCCCTCTTCTGCATACCTCCCCCGTCAGGATCGGCAGTGGTTGCAGGCGATCCTCGACCCGAAGCAGACAGATTGGTCCAGCCGCCGCATTGCTGGAGCATGTCAGGAAGATTGAGGAGAAGCAGCAGGGGGAGGGGGAGGAGGAGCAGGAGGGGGCCATTCAGACTGTCCCGTTCATTTCCCTTCCCTGCTCTCTTCTCTCTCTCTCTCTGCCTCTCTCTGTTCTCTGGGGTCTCCTTGAGCACTTGCTCCTGATGCTGCATCTGGTCTGAGTCAGGCTCGGCCTGTTCGGAGACCTCCTGTTGCCGTGGGGGCGCGTGCGCTAAGTCTTCGACGTCGTTCGGCGTCGTAGGTCTGCGGACTGGCGGGGGACTGCTAGACGTCTTCGCCGCTTCCCACAAGCTTTCGTATGGCTTCGGAGGAGGAGGAGGGGAGAAGAAGAAGAAGAAGAATTATAAAAAGAAAAACAATGGAGGAGGATTGTGAGGAGGAGTTGGAGGAGGAGGAGGAGGAGGAGGCGAAGAAGACAGCGAGGGTCGAGGGAGCTTTCACGGGTTCCAGGAGATCCTTGGGGCCTCGTGGGGGTTCTACATCGGTTTCAGGGGGAGGCGGGGAGGAGGAGGAGGAGGAGAAGGAGGAGGAGGTGGTGGAGGAGGAGGAGGAGGAGGACGAGTAGGAGGAGGAGGATCAGGAGGAGGAGGACGGGGGGGAGGAGGAGGGGGCGGAGGAGGAGGGTGGTGGTGGTGGTGTGGTGGTGGTGGTGGTGGTGGTGGTGGTGGTGATGATTGTGATGACAGTGATGATGGTGATGACGGTGACGATGACCATGACGATGACCATGACGACGGCGATGGTGATGGCGATGACGACGATGATGATGCTGATGCTGATGCTGATGCTGATTATGAGGATGAGGATGAGGATGAGGATGAGGATGATGATGATGCTGATGCTGATGATGACGATGATGATGATGATGATGATGATGATGATGATGACGATGATGAACATGATGATGATGATGCTGAAGATGATCTTGATGATGCTGATGAGGATGAGGATGAGGATGATGATGCTGATATTGATGCTTATGATGATGGTGATGATGGTGGTGATGCTGATGATGATGCTGACGATGATGATGATGATGATGATGATGATGATGATGATGATGATGATGCTGATGCTGATGCTGATGCTGATGATGATGATGATGATGATGATAATGATAATGATGATGATGATGACGACGGTGATGCTGATTATGATTGTGATGATGACGGTGAAGCTGATGTTGCTGATGATGGTGGTGATGATGATGACGACGAGGACCCTGACGATGATTAATATGATGATGCTGCTGATAATGATGACGAGCATGATGATGTTGCTGACGATCACTGTGAGGATGATGGTGCTGATGATGATGATGCTGATGTTTATGATCATGATGATGCTGATGCTGACGATGCTGATCAGTTGGATGATGATACTGATGCTGATGCTGATGCTGATGATGATGCTGCTGATGATGACGACGACAACGATGATGATGATGATGATGATGATGATGCTGCTGCTGATGCTGATGCTGATGCTGATGCTGATGCTGATGCTGATTATGATGCTGATGCTGATGCTGATGCTGATGCTGATGATGGTGGTGATGATGATCATGATGACAGCACCGATGACGGTTGATGTTGTTGCTCATCATGGCGACGATGAGTTGTTGATGGTGGTGGCGATGATGGCGACGGTGATTGCAAGGACGACGATGATGAAAGCGCGCCATTGGATCACCCTGTAATTGAAAAAGGGGGGGTGCTCGCAGAACCCCTCTCCCCCTCCCCCCTTCAAAGGGGGGGCGAGATTTTCGCCCCCCCCCCTCCCCCCTTGGCGCTGGAAAAGGGGGGGAAGGGGGGGATGGTCGGAAACTCCCCTCCCCCCCCCTCCCCCCCCTTGCGCCGGACAGAGAGCCAGGGAGGGGGCCTCTCCCGCTGCTGTTTTCTGCGCCGAAGAAGGTGGGCAGGGAGTATGAATAGGGAATAGTGAGTAGTGAATAGTGCGTAGTGAGTAGAGAGTAGCGAGTAGTGAGTAGTGAGTATTGAGTAGTGAGTAGTGAGTAGTAGTGAGTAGTGTAGTGAGTAGTGTAGTGAGTAGTGAGTAGCGAGTAGTGAGTAATGAGTAGTGAGTAGTGAGTAATGAGTAGAAGTTCCTGCAGCGATGTCCCCCTGCCGCTCCACGCCCGCCCTGCCGCCCCCAAGCTTCGCGACGCTGATCAAGCTGCTCGTCTCGCCCCAGTACAAGGACTCCCCAGCGCACGCTTGGCACTTGCCGGGTGTTGCTAGAAGTGCCCCTGGTCCAAAGATGCCCCAGGATTTCCAAGGAGGCCCCCACGGCTTCCAGAGCACCCCTCACGATGCCCGGAGGGCCGCAGGGGCTCCAAAATGGAGCGAAGAGCTGGGGCACCTTTTGGGCCAGGGGGCACTTTTTATTGTGGCAGCCCTCGAAGCTTTGTGGCGTCTTGCGCGCCCTCGGCCGCGCTGGCGCGTGCCATCACCGCTTTCTTCGGGGCCGGCCGAGGAGGGGTGATGATGACCATCGGCGGCGGGATCCGAACCGGACCCTTGCCGAGCCATGATTCAAGCAACTCGATGGTTGGCGGGGGTAGGGTTCGGATGTCGCCACTTGGCCTGAGAGGGGGGGTTATCATGGCCAGGGCCATGACACCTCCCGGGATCTCATGGCCCCCCGTTGTTGCACTGTGTTATGTGCCCTGGTCCCTCCCCCAGGGCCGCGCACGCGCCTCGGGCCAGGATCCGTTGCTTTCCCCCTCTTGGGCGCCCCCAAGAGTTGGGGCCCGCATACGTCGACGGCCATGGCTTAAGTCGAGCCTGTCCCTCTACAGGGGGGATATGCCAAAATAGTCAAAACATAGCCTGGGGACTATTTTTTGAGTATTTGGGGGCATCTTTTGATTATTTTTTATTATATTTCCTCACATGCTTCGTGGGGTTCTGGTTTTCTTCCCTGCCGCGCTGCACCCGCGTCTCCTCCTCCCCTCCTCTCTCTTTCTTCCTCCCTTCACTCACACACACACTTCACTCTTCCCCCCCTCGTCACAGCACTGCTCAGCTCAACTCACCTCAGCACAGCACAGCTCAGCTCAGCACAGCACAGCACAGCTCGGCTCGGCTCAGCACAGCTCAGCACAGCCCAGCACGGCTCAGCTCAGCACAGCACAGCACAGCTCGTGGCACTTTCTCGACACCACAGGGGGTGCGCAGGGGTGCAAAGGCTAGCAGGCGTGGCACTTTCTCGACACCACAGGGGGTGCGTAGTGGTCCCTGAGCGCGGCCGCTATCCGTGCCAGTCGTCCAGGCATAGCAGGCGTTGCACTTTCTCGACACCATAAGGGATTGGCAGGGGGTGGTCCCTGAGCGCGGCCGCTATCCGTGCCAGTCGTCCAGGCATAGCAGGCGTGGCACTTTCTCGAAACTATAGGGGGTGCGCAGGGGCATAGCAGGCGTGGCACTTTCTCGACACCATAGGGGGTGCGCAGGGGGTGGTCCCTGAGCGCGGCCGCTATCCGTGCCAGTCGTCCAGGCATAGCAGGCGTGGCACTTTCTCGACACCATAGGGGGTGCGCAGGGGGTGGTCCCTGAGCGCGGCCGCTATCCGTGCCAGTCGTCCAGGCATAGCAGGCGTGGCACTTTCTCGACACCATAGGGGGTGCGCAGGGGGTGGTCCCTGAGCGCGGCCGCTATCCGTGCCAGTCGTCCAGGCATAGCAGGCGTGGCACTTTCTCGACACCATAGGGGGTGCGCAGGGGGTGGTCCCTGAGCGCGGCCGCTATCCGTGCCAGTCGTCCAGGCATAGCAGGCGTGGCACTTTCTAGACACCATAGGGGGGTGCGCAGGGGGTGGTCCCTGAGCGCGGCCGCTATCCGTGCCAGTCGTCCAGGCATAGCAGGCGTGGCACTTTCTAGACACCATAGGGGGTGCGCAGGGGGTGGTCCCTGAGCGCGGCCGCTATCCGTGCCAGTCGTCCAGGCATAGCAGGCGTGACCTTTCCTAGACCACCATCGGGGGTGCGCAGGGGTGTCCTGACGCGCGCATCCGTGGGCCATGTCGTCCATAATAGCAGGCGTGTCAACTTTTCTCGACACCACAGGGGGGTCGCAGGGGGTGGTCTCTCAGCTCGGCCGCTATCCACGACACTGGCGCAAAGGCTAGCAGGCGTGGCACTTTCTCGACACCACAGGGGGTGCGCAGGGGGTGGTCCCTGAGCGCGGCCGCTATCCGTGCCAGTCGTCCAGGCATAGCAGGCGTGGCACTTTCTCGACACCATAGGGGGTGCGCAGGGGGTGGTCCCTGAGCGCGGCCGCTATGCGTGCCAGTCGTCCAGGCATAGCAGGCGTGGCACTTTCTAGACACCATAGGGGGGTGCGCAGTGTTGGTCCCTGTAGCGCGGCCGCTATCCGTGGCCAGTCGTCCATGCCTGGATGTTAGTGTGACAGCAAGGCGTGGCACTTTCTCGACCCCACAGGGGGTGCGCAGGGGGTGGTCCCTGAGCGCGGCCGCTATCCGTGCCAGTCGTCCAGGCATAGCAGGCGTGGCACTTTCTCGACACCATAAGGGGGTGCGCAGGGGGTGGTCCCTGAGCGCGGCCGCTATCCGTGCCAGTCGTCCAGGCATAGCAGGCGTGGCACTTTCTCGACACCATAAGGGGGGTGCACAGGGGGTGGGTCCCTGAGCGCGCCGCTATCCGGTGCCAGTCCGTCCCAGGCATCATTTGCGGAGGATAAAATGGAAAGGTATCGAGTATAATAGAGTAGCATGCGTGGCACATTCTAGACTCTAGACACCATAGGGGGTGCGCAGGGTGTGGTCCCTGAGCGCGGCCCCTATCCGTGCCAGTCGTCTAAGCATAGCAGGCGTGGCACTTTCTCGACACCATAGGGGGTGCGCAGGGGGTGGTCCCTGAGCGCGGCCGCTATCCGTGCCAGTCGTCCAGGCATAACAGGTGTGGCACTTTCTCGGCACCATAGGGGGTGCGCAGGGGGTGGTCCCTGAGCGCGGCCGCTATCCGCGCCAGTCGCCCAGGCATAGCAGGCGTTGCATTTTCCCGACGCCATAGGGGGTGCGCAGGGGGTGGTCCCTGAGCGCGGCCGCTATCCGTGCCAGTCGTCCAGGCATAGCAGGCGTGGCACTTTCTCGACACCACAGGGGTTGCGCAGGGGGTGGTCCCTGAGCGCGGCCGCTATCCGTGCCAGTCGTCCAGGCATAGCAGGCGTGGCACTTTCTCGACACCACAGGGGTTGCGCAGGGGTGGTCCCTGAAGACGCGGCCGCTATCCCTGCCAGTCGATCCAGGCATAGCAGGCTTGGCCACTTTCTAGACACCATAGTTGGGGTGCGCAGGTGTTGGGTGGTCCCTGAGCGCGGCGCTATCCGTGCCGGTTCGTCCACTAGCAGTGCGTGGCTACTTTCTTCGACACACTAGGGGTGCGCAGGGGTGTGGGCCCCCGAGTCGCGGCCCCTATCCGTGCCTCCTCGGGCATAGCAGCGTGGCACTTTCTCGCACCATAGGGGGTGCGCAGGGGGTGGTCCCTGAGCGCGGCCGCTATCCGTGCCAGTCGTCCAGGCATAGCAGGCGTGGCACTTTCTAGACACCATAGGGGGTGCGCAGGGGGTGGTCCCTGAGCGCGGCCGCTGGCTGGCTCGAATCTGTCTTTGATGGAGGATAGAAGGCTAGGAAGAGGGAGGAGGTTCAAGCAATACGGCGTTGGATGACACAGAGGGGAACATTCGCGACGAGGGCTGAGAACGCAGAATTGCGCATATATTATAAACTTAAGCAAGCACATAAGATTTAAATTGAGTATGTGGGGTTCCTCGGTAGCGTAATTAACCTGTTCGTCCAAAAACCCCCTGTAGGGGGACAGGCCCGACTTAAGGCCAGCATACGTCGAAGGCTATGGCGTGCATGCACGTGTGAGCACCCGCAGCCCTGAGGCAGTCGCGCTCCGCGGCCCTGGGGCCGGGAGAGCCTCTTTGCTCCGTGTCTCCACGTGGTCAGAGGAGGACGAGGCGCACGGTTCGGAGATGGTCGGAAATGCCCGAGCAGTTCTCCTTGGTTCCCAGCCATCCTGTGGTGTTGGGTCCTCGTTTCGGAGAGGCAGCGCCCTGTGTCCCACCTCACCTTCACCTCCCTTCTCCCCCTCCTCCCTCATCCCCTGCGTGCTTCTGCTCCTCGCGTCAGTCCGCCACTTCGGCGCATCGTTCACACGCTTCGTGGCTCAATAGGTGCTCTACCGAAGGACCCAGTGGCGGTGTTCGCATGCGTCCCCGCACCCGATTCGGCACAGACCTCACACGTTTCGTAGCCTCATAGGGAGCTCCACCGAAGGCCCCAGTGGCGGTGTTCGCAAGAGTCCCCGCCACCCTTTCCGGCACACCCCTCACACGCTTCGTGGCCCGCTTTCTACCGAAGGCCCCACAAGGCCCCAGCGGCGGTGTTCGCATGCGCCCCGCACCCGATTTCGGCACACCCCTCACGCGCTTCGTGGCCCCATAGGGAGCTAGCTCCACCGAAGGCCCCGGCGGCGGTGTTCGCATGCGCCCCCGCCACCCATTTCGGCACCCCCTCACGCGTTTCGGGGCCCCATGGGGCGCCTTATCGAAGGCCCCAGTGGCGGTGTTCGCATGCGCCCCCGCGCCCGATTCGGCACATCCCTCACACGTTTCGGGGCCCCACAAAGAGCTCCACCGAAGGCCTCAGTGGCGGTGTTCGCATGCGCCCCTCACACGTTTGGTGGCTCCGTGGAGAGCTCCACCGAAGGCCCCAGTGGCGGTGTTCGCATGCGCCCCCGCCACCCATTTCGGCACACCCCTCACACGGTTCGTGGCTTCATAGGGAGCTCCACCGAAGGCCCCAGTGGCGGTGTTCGCATGCGCCCCCCCCACCCGATTCGGCACACCCCTCACGCGCTTCGTGGCCCCATAGGGAGCTACCCAATCCGGCCCATCCCTCAAGCGTTTCGTGACTCCATTGGGAGCTCCACCGAAGCCGATATTCACCGGCGCGCTACTCACAACTGCACATGGTTTGGCCTCTTGCCGGGATAATTTTCGACCGTTCCCGAAACCCAGGGCGGTGTCCATCAGCTGCGCCTCGTCGAGGCCCCTCCGGCGGTGCCGCAAGCGTCCCGAGCGGCTTCCGGGGACCCGAGCCACGACCCGAAAAGACCAGCGGGGGGGCAGAGCTGCAGGGGGCGGATGCCGATGCCGCTGCTCGTCCTGGAGAGCCCTCGTCGCCACCGCTGGGTTCTCCCCGAAGTCCTGGTCAGAACGGGCCCTGGAGAGTCAGCATCGTGTACCCCGACCCCCGTCCCCATCCCCATCCCCTCCGAGACCCCCGCCAAACTACCCCCCCAGTGGGGGACACACCGCTCGAGACCCGACGGGGACGGCCTATATCCCCATCCATCTAGGGGGGTCAATCGGCCAGCGGGGCTCAGGCCACGCCGCTGGGGATGGGGAGCGGATCAACGATGCTCACTGGAGAGGTCAGGGAGGTGTCGGTCTCGGCACCTTCCCCCGGCACTTGAGGATCCGACTTCCCCCTGCGCGTAGCCGGGAGGGTGTCCACGCCCCGGGCGGAGCGTTGCGTCCCGGGTCGGGTGTCTTGGCATCGCTCGAACGTCTGCATTTTTCCTTCGGGTGAGGGCCATCGAGGAGCATCCTTGGTCATTTGGCGAAAAAAAAAGCACGCACAAAAAAATCGGAAAGAACACAGGGAGTGGGCCAGCGCTGGCCCCTCGAGAGCGGCGCCCCCGAGGGCGGCAAGCGAGGAGACGCGCCCCGACTCGAGAGAGCAAGAGAACAGAACGTGTGCCCCGGCTGCCGGGCTGCCAGGGCCGCGCACGGGCGGGCCCCCCGAGGAGGAGGAGGAGGAGGAGGAGGAGGAGGAGGAGGAGGAGGAGGAGGAGGAGGAGGAGGAGGAGGAGGAGGAGGAGAGGAGGAGGAGGAGGAGGAGTAGGAGGAGGAGGAGGAGGAGGAGGAGGAGGAGGAGGAAGGAGGAGGGGAGGAGGAGGAGGAGGGGGGGGAGGAGGAGGAGGGGGAGGGGGATGAGGAGGGGGGGGGAGGAGGAGGAGGAGGAGGAGGAGGTCTAGGAAAAGGAGGAGGAGGAGGAGGAGGAGGAGGAGGAGGAGAAGGAAGGAGAAGGTCTAGCTGGCCTCAGCGGGCCCCCCCCGAGAAAAGTCTTGGGGGGCAGCCCCGACGGCTCCCCGGGGCTGCCGCCCCCCCGGGCGCGGGGGGCGGCGCGGGAGAGAGCGCGACGGGGGGGGGGCGCTTGCGCCTGCGAGGCGCGGAGCGCGGAGCCCAGGCCTACCGTCGTCGTCGTCGTCGTCGTCGTCGTCGTCGTCGTCGTCGTCGTCGTCGTCGTCGTCGTCGTCGTCGTCGTCGTCGTCGTCGCCGCCGCCGCCGCCGTCGCCGTCGCCGTCGCCGTCGCCGTCGCCGTCGCCGTCGCCGTCACCGTCGTCGTCGTGATTCATCGGGACCCCCCCCCCCGAAATCGGACCCCCCGAATCCTGGGAAAGATCTCCGCGCCGGCGCCTGCGAGGCGCGGAACGCGCCTGCGCTGGCCCAGGCCATGGTGTTTAGGCCATTTAGTGGTCCGTTTTTTTTTGTTGCTTGTTCTGCGCTGCATGCCAGGCGAAGGCAAGACGAGGAGGAGCGAAGACCGGAAAGAACACCAGAGACACCGTTCGGGTCCAGCCCGCGAGCTGGCGGTCGGCCAGCTCGTGGGCACCAGGCGAGCCACGAGATTCCAGTTCGTTCGGAGCCGTGTTCTGGTGCTGCTGTGAGGCGTCGCGTGCGCCTTTCTTGGACGCGCACCTCTTGGCTAGTGGCCGACGCCGCCACCGTCGTCGTCGCCGTCGTACCAGACCTCCAGCGTATCATTTTTGTTCAATGCGGGGTTCCCTGAGCTTTGTTTTCCGCCCCGCATCGTTTTTTGTCGTCGATTGTCCGAGAGCGAGGGCCCCCAGAGGCGAAATGGACGAGCACATCTCAGTCGAATTCTTTCGATGCGCTGGAGGTCTGGCGTCGTCCTCGTCCTCGCCGTCGTCGTCGTCGTGGTCGTCCTCGACTTTGCCCTCGTCCTCGTCCTCGTCCTCGTCGTCGTGCGCTGGAGGTCTGGCGTCGTCCTCGTCCTCGCCGTCGTCGTGGTCGTGGTCGTCCTCGACTTTGCCCTCGTCCTCGTCCTCGTCGTCGTCCTCGTCCTCGTCTTCGTCGTCGTCGTGCTCGTCGTCCTCGACCTCGTCCTCGTCGTCGTCGTCGTCGTCGTCGTCGCCGCCAGGGCTTCGTCGGGCTCCGCTGCGTGGCCCTGCGCGCCGTGCAGCTGATGCTGCGCATCGCGGGGCAGATGGCCGGAGGTGCCTCTCGCTCCCCCCCAGCGCCGCGCGGCGGCCGCCTCCTGCCCTGGGCGGCCGCGGTGGCCTCCAGGGTGCCCCCAGAGAGATCTACAGGGCGAGGAGGAGGAGGAGGAGGAGGAGGAGGAGGAAGACGACGAAGAGGGAGGAGGAGGGCGGAGGAGGAGGAGGAGGAGGAGGAGGACGACGACGACGACGACGGCTCGGTTCCGCTCGGGCCACGAGGGTGCCTTCGCCGAGGCGGCGTTGCACTCGACACCTGGGCTGAAGTCGGGCGCCGCGCGGTGGTCGCTCCGGCCCTGGGCGGTCGCGGTTGCCTCCAGGGTGCCTCCAGGGTTCTGATGCTCCAGCCTGCTTTTGCCTCGATCACCAGAGAGAATGTCGAGCGCCCAGAAAAGTACCGAGACTCGAGGGTTTTCGCGCGTCGGGCCCTGGGAGGCACTCGCCCGACACCGTTTCGACACTGTTTCGGCACTCTTTTGACACTTTTCCGGGTGCTCGAAATTAGTTCTGGGATGTGGTCTTCAAGTAGGATGGGAACAACATAACTCCAGGGTTAAGTCGGGCGTGTCCCTCTACAGGGGGAATATTCAAACATAGTCAAAGCATAGTCCGGGGACGATTCTTCTACTAGTTTTGACCATTTGGGGGGTATTGTTTGAGTATCTTTTCTGTTTCGTCCAAAGTCCCCCTGTAGGGGGACAGGCCCGACCTAACTCCAGGGTTGCATGGGTAGACCCAGTAATTGTGTATATGTCGAGGGCCGTGCCTTTCGATTCGTAGTAGCAGGAACCCTGGTGTAGCATCGTTGTCATACGAGCCGCGTCGCAATTGACTTGGCACCGCGCTGGGCGGCCAGGCCCTTCAAACTGGAGGGGCACGTATGACGACCCCCCTTCCCGCCAAAGTTGAGAAGCGCAGTGGGCTGGCGGGGATGCGCGAAGCGTCCGGAATTCCTCTTCTACGTTTGAGTTTCAGGAATGGTGTTCTGACGCGATGCAGGATCGCCAAATCGCAACAGTGGCTGTGATTCGTGGCGCTGGCATCCCAGGACGGTCGTCTTCCAACGGGGGGGTCTCCCCCAGTGAAGATGGCTCTTTGTAGTGGCCTTTACAAAAAGGAAACTTGAAGGGAAGGTGTATTGCGATATCGTTGATACGTCGTGGCTTTGCACTGGTCCTCTGCCTCTTCCTCCCCCTCCTCCTGCCCTTGCCGCCCAAGTCGAGAGGCGCACCTTCCGCCCCCCCCCTCCAAAGTTGAGGGCGCGTGGATCGCCAACGTCTGCCCCAGCTCAGCCTCTGCGTCCACTTTGGAGAAGGGGGGGGGCAAGCCCACCTTTTATGCCTCCCTGCCCAGAACCCTAGTAACCCCAACCCTAGTAACCCGATGAAGACGGAGGGGGGGGGGCATGACCAGGAAGCACGGCCGGAGGACAAGAGGAGGAGAGGAAAGAGGGGGGGAGGAGGGGGGGAGGAGGGGGGGGGAGGAGGAGGAGGAGGAGGAGGAGGAGGAGGAGGAGGAGGAGGAGGAGGAGGAGGAGGAGGAGGAGGAGGAGGAGGAATAGAGGCGTGGAGAGAGGCAGGCGGCATGACAGGCACGCGGCCCCGCATGATTGCGCCCCATGGGGCCAGCGGGCTGCACGCGCGTGGCCGCGCAAGGGACGCCCTCCGCCCGTCGAGCCATGAGCAGGGGCGGACCCACGGAGTCGTGGGCACCCCCAACACAGCCAGGGGTTGAGGAGGCACTGCCAGCGCCTCCTCAACAACCCCTGGCTGAGGAGGGACAGGCCCGATTTGACGATAGCCTACCGTCAAGTCGGGCCTCTCCCTCTACAGGAGCGGGCGGGCCCACGGAGTCGGGGGCACCCCGGCACAGCCAGGGGCCGAGGAGGCACCGGCTGCCCCAGATGTCGTAGCAAAAGGGAGGGGGGTCTCAGCCCTCCCAGACGAGGAGTTTTGGACCCTCCCAGGCCATCCATGAAAGGGCGGCCCTCTGCCCAGATCCCCCCCGAGCCCTCCAAGACAGCTCAAATCAGACCCCCCCCAAAATGTGACCCCCCCACTTTATTATGGAATCCGGAGTACCGTCAAGTCGGGCCTGTCCCTCTACAGGAGGAGCATGCAAAAAATTAGTCGAGCAATCGCCCGGGGACGATTCTTGAGCATTTCTGAGCATGTTTCTGATGATTTGTTGGGTGCCTTGCTATTGCTCGTCCCGAATCCGCCTGCACTTGTAGGAGGGCAGGCCCGGCCTCAGGCCACCGCTCGGGTGTTTCGGCGTCGCCAGCGGTGCAGACGTGAGAGCGGGTGGGCTCTCTCTTCACTCGCAGGGTGCCCACGAGGCCAAGTGGCTGGACGTGCGGATCCGCCTTCTGTTCCATCCGCGGGAGAGGGCCTGGCATCGCTCGGACGTGTGTGTGTGTGTGTTGTGTGTGTGTTGTGTGTGTGTTGTGTGTGTGTTGTGTGCGTGTTGTGTGTGTGTGTGTGTGTTGTGTGTGTTGTGTGTGTGTGTTGTGTGTGTGTTGTGTTGTGTTGTGTTGTGTTGTGTTGTGTTGTGTTGTGTTGTGTTGTGTTGTGTTGTGTTGTGCTGTGCTGTGCTGTGTTGTGTGTTGTGTGTGTGTGTGTGTGTGTGTGTGTGTGTGTGTGTGTGTGTGTGTGTGTGTGTGTGTGTGTGTGTGTGTGTGTGTGTGTGTGTGTGTGTGTGTGTGTGTGTGTGTGTGTGTGTGTGTGTGTGTGTGTGTGTGTGTGTGTGTGTGTGTGTTCCTCGGCGAGAACCATCGAGGACCATCCTGGACCGTCGACCGACAAAAAGCACGCACGAAACCCGAAAAAACATGGGAAATGTACGCCCGAGCGACGGCAAGAGGGGGGGGGGGAGGGAGGGAGGAATCGGGGGGGGGGGGAGGCAGCATGTTTCCTTGCTGGGAGCGCTGCCTCTGCCCTCGCCTCCCTGCCTTGCTCGTCTCGTCCTCCCCCTTCCCCTCCTCGTTCCCCTTCCCGCCCTCCTCCCCTCCCTTCTCCCCGCCCCTTCCCCCCCCTGCTGCTCCCTTCCCCCTCTGCTCGTCGTCGTCGTCGTCGCCTTCGTCGTCCCCCCTCCTCCTCCTCCTCCCTCCTCCTCCTCCCTCCTCCCCCCTCCTCCTCCTCCTCCCTCCTCCTCCTCCTCCTCCTCCCTCCTCCTCCCTCCTCCTCCTCCTCCTCCTCCTCCTCCTCCTCCTCCTCCGCGACGGCAGCAGCGTCGACGGGCGGCGCACATGGACCCCCAGAGGCTTCCCGGTGCCCCCCCCCAGAAGCGGGGGAGAGCGGCAGCGCCCCCCGAAACCGACCCTCGACTCATCTCGAATCCCCGATCCCCGATCCCCGATGAGGAGGAGGAGGAGGAGGAGGAGGAGGAGGAGGAGGAGGAGGAGGAGGAGGAGCAGGAGGAGCAGGAGGAGGGAGGAGGAGGAGGAGGAGGAGGAGGAGGAGGAGGAGGAGGAGCAGGAGGAGGAACAGGAGGAGGAGGAGGAGGAGCAGGAGGCGGTGGTGGAGGAGGAGGAGGAGAAGGAGGAAGAAAAGCCCGACCACCACAAGACGACGACCACGACCATCGCCGGATCTGGCGGCGGTGCGCGCGCCGAGTTTTGCGTGGGAGCGGGGCCCTTCGTTCCCCCACGCCCCTCGGCTCTTCGATCTTCCTGCCCCTCGAGGTCCCCCGGGCACCACGACGACGACAGCGGCCACGACCAAGACTCGAGTAGGGGATCGACTACAGAACTGATTTGCCCCCAAATCGATGTTCCCGCCAGATCTGCGAACAGTGCGTGTGTATCATGTCCCGCAGATGTACGGGCGCTCCTTACGCGCTTCTTGCGTTTATGCGCCGGGAGAACCAAGTCTGGAGTAAGTCAATTCTGCAATTCGTCGATCCCCTCCAGTGGAGGCCAAGCCAAGCCACAAGAAACCCAACCCTGAGACCCCAGGACGTCCACTGATTTCTGTTGCGTGGGGACGCCCCGCTCTTCATGGCAAAACCATCGAGACCCAGGAAACCCAGGGCACCCTGGAGGCGAGCGGGGTGTTTCCTGGCATGGGCCTCCACTGTACAGGCGGCCCGGATTAGTAGGTCGACCCTGCCAGATCCAGGGTACCCTCGTGTCCTGTGTCTCGCGACCCATGCCTCCTGCAGTTCTGTGGCAGCGTGGCCCTCCGAAGGGTCTTCTGTCCTCTCGCGTGTCCTCTCCAATCAGCGGAAGAGGTTCGCTCTCGCCCTGCAGATCAAAAAAGTGTCCTCTCCAATCAAGTCCGACCGTACTCGAGCGACGGCGGCAGCGGCGGCGGCAGCGGCGGCGGGCGGCGGCGGCGGGCGCCGGCGGCCCCGCCAGTCACCGAGGCGCGAGGCGCGAGCGGCGGTGGCGGCGACGCGCGAGCGTGAAAGGGGGCGCGAGCGGCGGTGGCGGCGAGGCGCGAGCGTGAAAGGGTGGCATGGTACCCCTGTGCTTGATGTCCCGCCCCCGGCGGCGGCGGCGGGCGGCGGCGGCGGCGGCGGCGGGCGGCGGCGGCGGGCGGGCGCCGGCGGCCCCGCCAGTCACCGACGACGCGGACCTGGGCATGCGGTGCTTGCTGGAGCTGGTGAGCCGGGAGCTGGCGCAGGAGGCGGCCCGGCCTGGGCGCGCTGCTCCGCGCCGCGGGCCTCGGGCCGCGAGGGGCCGGCTCTGTCCACCACCGCTGCCGCAGGGAGGAGGAGGAGGAGGAGGAGGAGGAGGAGGAGGAGGAGGAGGAGGAGGAGGAGGATAAGGAGGAGGAGGAGGGAGGAGGAGGAGGAGGACCTCCCCATCCTCCCTTCTCCCCCCCTCCTACCTACGGCAGTGGTGGTGGGGAAACTGGCCCATCATGGCGGGCGCTGCCAGAGGCTTGGGTCTGCAGTCGAGGCGCTGAAATTGGGGCAGCTTTGGGGGTCAGGAGGGGTTTGGGTTTTTCGAGCCGTTCTTGCGATCGAGGTCGGGGAGTCTACTCGAAGCCGAGGCTCGCCGTGGCCAGAAAGGCCCCTTCGTTCCTCATTCAGCGTTCCTCGTGGCAGCACGATGGCTGTGGCCCCCCCAAATGGGGTCAGAGTAGATGAGGTCGGAGGTTCGCGCCGCATCGCCGATGCATCTGCGATGCGGCTCGATGTGGATCCCGATCTTCTCCACGCCGATGTCGTCGATGCGGCGCGGTCCTTCGACCCCACCTGCTCCGACCCCACTGGGGCAACGTAAGACTCGAGTTTGCCGAGACTTGGGTTTTCGACTGGCTTTCGACGGCCCCGTCGCGAGTCTTGACGGTCAAGTGTTGGTGTGACGTTCTCGCCGGCCAATTCGCTAGTTAGTTCGGAGGGCACCAACTATACACCAACACCGTTCCTGGCCCAGGATCACCCTGGGCCCAGGATCGGTGTATATGTCTTCTTGCCCAAGGCAGGAGGGCGTATACACCGATCCTGGGCCCAGGGTGATCCTGGCCAGGATCGGTGTTGGTGTATAGTTGGTGCCCTCCTATTAGTGCCCCTATCTAGCTTCTCGCTGGTGCGGATGTCGCCGCTTCGCCGCTTGCGGAAAAAAAAGCTTGGGTGACGTTTTTGCAGCGGCAGGCTCCTCTCTCGGCGCCCCGTCCTCGGCGTCCCTGCGCCCAGCCCTGCCGGGCGCTGCCAGAGGCTTGGGAGACCGAAAATCAAATATCAGAAGCCAGGGCTGGCAACCCCGCGGCTGCTAAAACGGAGCTCCGGGACAGTGATGTTTCTTTTCCGGGAAGCAGCCCGTCCGCCAGGGTTCCGCCCCCTGCCGCCGGCCCCCTCTCTCTCTCAGATGATGGGCAATGCAAGGGCGAGAAATCACGAGGCGCTGGCGCCGCCGTGAAGCAGCATCGGCAAGAGAAATTGAGATTCTGATGAGATTGTTGAACTCAGTGTTTCGGAGACGCGAATCTTCGTCAATTGCGAAGGTTTGTGGTTTCCTGGCCGAGATTATAGCGTAATTTACGCGGGTTTATGGATTCGGGGACGCGAACATAGCGCAAGTTGAAGGTAATTTGCAAGGGCTGATGGCTTGCGCATATAGCGTAATTTACGATGGGCTATGGTTTCGGACATGCGGTTATTGCATACTTGACGAGGACTGATGGCTTCGGGGTCGCAAATATGTAGTGTAATTTACGCAGGTTTGTGGCTTCGGAGACGCGAATATTGCATTATCTACTCGATTTATGGCTTCGGATACGCGATTATTGCATAATGTTCGAAGGTTTGTGGCTTCGGGGTCGCACCTATTGCCTCATTTACGTAGGTTGTTGGTTTCGGAGATGCGAATGTCACGTAATTTTCTAAAGTTTACGGCTTCGGGGACGCGAATACGGCGTGATTTGCAAGAGTTTGCTGCCTCGGAGACGCAAGCATTGCATAATTTACACGGTTTATCGCTTCGGAGACACGAATACGGTGTATTTTGCCAGGGTGTATAGCTTCGGGGACGCGAATAAGGTGTAATTCACGAGGGTTTATGGCGTCGGGGACGTGACCATCGTGTAATTTACGACGGTCTATGGCTTCGGGGGCGCGAATTTCATATATGATTTTACAGGTCCCACGCCCCCCCAGAGATTCAGGCGCTAACCAGGGCACTTTTCGGCTCCCCCCCTCGCGCGGTCCATCAACAAGGAACAGTAAGCAGCATAAAGCAATACTGTAGTGGTGGAAACGAAACTAGAAACTGGAACTGGCGCAGGGAACAGCAAACCCTCGTCCTACAGCCTGGTAGCCCCACAAGGGGGCCGGCGGATTTTCTGCGTTGATCTTTCTTCCGGGAATTCTAGACGCTTCGCGTAATCTCACCAGCCGCCTTCCGCTCCCTGTCCGCTGCCTCGGAGCCGCCGACCAAAAAAAGTAACCTCACCAGCCCATCCAGAAACGATGCCCAGAGGAATTGCCTCGATCAGGGAAGTGGGCAGCACACAGAGGAAGGGTCCCCCAGTGGAGGCCTCTTGGAGCGTCTTGGGTGCGTCGGAGAGCTTCTTGGGGCCTCTTGGGGGTCTCTTGGGAGCATCTTGGAGGCCTCTTGGGCGCCTCCTGGGGCCTTCTGGGCGCCTCTTGGGGCCCTCTGGAAGCGCTCGGGAGCCTTGGGAGCGCTCTTGGGGCCATCTGGGGGGACATCGATCAAACAAGAAGCGAGCATTAGTTAGCGTTGCCCCTCGAGAGCCCGAACAATCCCCTCTTGGGGCGCTCTTGGGGCGCACTTGGAGCGCTCTTAGGCGCTCTTGGGGCCGTCTTGGGGCTCTCTGGAGCCTTTTTGGGAGCCTTCCTGGGCCATCTTGGAGCCATCTCGAGGCCTCGGATGGCCATCGGAAGCGTAGCTTCTAAGGAGGCTGTGCATTCGGGAAGCGAGGTTTTCGCGGGCACCCTTCGTTCTCCATCTACGTGTTGGGCCATCTGGAGCCTTTCTTGGAGCCCTCTTGGGCCATCTTGGAGCCATCTTGAGGCCTCGGATGGCCATCGGAAGCGAACACAGTCGAGAAAGCCAGACACATAGAAGGTCCTCAGGTTTTGGCCTCTTCGGGGCCTCCTGGGGGAGCTCTTTGGCCACTGGGAGCCGTCTTGGAGCGGTCTTGGGGCATCTTGGAGCATCGTGGGAGCCATTATGAGCATTATGACCCCCAGACGTTCCGGTTCCGGTTCCGGTTCCGGTTCCGGTTCCGGTTGGGGATCATCCCAATCCATCATCTTTGCCGCCGGCAGCTTTGGGTTGGACGTTGCAGACATGCAGGAAAGTGCTGGTTCCGGTTCGGGTTCCGGTTCCGGTTGCGGATGGGGATCATCTCAATCCATCGTCCTTACCGCTCGCAGCTATGGGTTGGAATTTGCAGAAATGCAGGACAGTGCTTGTTCTGGTTCCGGTTCCAGTTCCGGTTCCGGATGGGGATCATCCCTCATATCCCTCTCCATGCGTCCGGTTTCGGTTCCGGTTCCGGTTCCGGATCACCCCCCCCCCCCTCAGGCAGCGCGCGCTGCTCTGGTTCCAGTTCCGGTTCCGGTTCCGGTTCGGGATCATCCCTCATCCCTATCCTTCTCCATGCGTCCGGTTCCTGTTCCGGTTCCAGATCCCCCCCCCCCCCTCAGGCAGCGCGCGTTGCTCTGGTTCCGGTTCCGGTTCCGGTTCCGGTTCCGGTTCCGATTAGGGATCATCCCTCATCCCTATCCCTCTCCATGCGTCCGGTTCCGGTTCCGGATCACCCCCCCCCGCAGCGCGCGCTGCTCTGGTTCCAGTTCCGGTTCCGGTTCCAGTTCCGGTTCTGGTTCCGGTTAGGGATCATCCTTCATCCCTATCCCTCTCCATGCGTCCGGTTCCGGTTCCGGTTCTGGATCCCCCCCCCATCCTCAGGCAGCGCGCGCTGCTCTGGTTCTGGTTCCGGTTCCGGTTCCGGTTCTGGTTAGGGATCATCCCTCATCCCTATCCCTCTCCATGCGTCCGGTTCCGGTTCCGGTTTTGGATCCCCCCCCCTCCTCAGGCAGCGCGCTGTTCTGGCTCCGGTTCCGGTTCCGGTTCCGGTTCCGGATCAACCCTATACCTCCCACTTGGGGTTTTTATTGATTATGAGAGATTTTGGGATATTTTGAGCCATCTTGGAGGTCATCTCGGGCTCTCCCAGGCGCTCTTGGAGTCATCATAACCAGTGCCCCCCCCCAAGAGGCCAACATGTGGCTAAAACCTTAGTAGAAACACTGATTTGGCATTCTCGCCGAGGCCTCTTGGAGCATCTTGGGTGCCTCTGGGGGGTCTCTTGGAGCCTCTTGGGGGTCTCTTGGGAGTTTCTTGGGGGCATCCTGGCTGGGGGCCGCTTGGGGCTTCCTGGCCACCTCCTGGGGCCCTCTTGGGGCACCCTTAGGAGCCTTGGGGGCCATCTTTGGGCCATCTTGGGTAAGATCGATCACAGGAGGGGGGCACTGATTAGGGTTCCCCCCTCTGGAGGCCAAAACTGGGGCCCAAACCCTTGTACAACCAATGATTTTGGCTTCCTCGCCGAGGCCGTTTTGGACGCTCCGACACCTCGCGAAACCCTTTGTCCAGGTCCATGGGGAGGGGGTGATTAGGGGGAGGGGTCAAGACGCCCTCCCCGCCCGCAAGCCGTCTCGCTCACTCCCACCCGCCCTCCCAACACATACGTAGCACCCGAGCCTGGCCCGAGCCGCAGCATATCCAGCAGTTGCCTTTGGATGGGCAGCAGTATACTGGGGGCGAATCCGCCGCCGCGCCGCCGCCGCCGCCGCCGCCGCCCGCCGCCGCCGCCGCCGCGCCGCCGCCGCCGCCGCCGCCGCCGCAGCCGTCTCCGCCGCCGCCGCCGCGTCGCCCGCCGCCGCCCCGCCGCCGCCGCCGCGCCGCCGCCGCCGCGCGCCCGCCGCCGCCGCCGCCGCCGCAGTCGCCCCCGCTGCGAATCGCAGCCGCAGCCGCTGCCGCCGCAGGTCGCTGCCGCCACCGCTGCCGCCGCCGCCGCCACCGCCGCCGCTGCTGCCGCTGCCGCTGCCGCCGCCGCCGCCCCCGCCGCCGCCGCAGCCACCGCCGCAGCCGCCGCAGCCGCTGCCCCCGCCGCAACCGCCGCAGCCGCCGCCGCCAAGTGTATTCTGTATTGTT